AACCGAACAACCTGCTAACACACACGCACAACGAGGGGAAAGATGGATCGATCGCTACCGATGTCGACGAGCAGCAGAGGCAGAGCGATGGGCTTTTGGCGGCGACGGAGCAGCGGCTCTGCCTCTGAGCCGCCTCCACGTATGGTTGGCCTCGTACTCCATACGTGGGGTTGGGTGCGTGGTGGGGGCTAGCGGGTACGCGCGCCTTTGCTACACGGGTGGGGTCTCCGTCGGTCTCCATCTCCAGGCTCCAGCTTTTCAAAGGGACGGACATGGCAGCATGGAGGCGCGGCTCCTACAGACCAGCAGCAGCTAGCGGCAAGCACGTCGATGGACCCCTGCCTGCTGAAAAACATGCAAGCTGCAGACAGCTGATGCGGCATGCATGCACGGACGTCGATCGGAATACACACAGTGCACAGGCAGCGCAGACGCAGGTGCCGGCCGCGAGCGCCGGTTCGGCAAAAGCGGCGTCAGCGGCGCATGGGCGGGCGAGAGCTACGTAGCAACCTCCGTCGCCTAGTAGCTGCATGCGGTGCGCTACGGCTCCATCTCCATGCGCATCGCATGCATGCACCCTTGCTTTCCGCGACCGCGAGCCCTACTCTCCATTTATTTCCAGCTTCCTTCCGCGCGTCCGTCGTCCAAAGTCCAAACACGAAAGGGTCTCGTCTCGTCACTCGTCAGCAGCAAAGAGGAGCGCACGCACCGGCCGGAACCGGACGATGAGAAAACAGATCGAGCATGCATAACTGACCAGCGGCGTATACGTGCTGTGCCTGTGCTTTGGCCTTTGGGGATGCATGGGATGAGTTGCCATCCGTTGGGTTCTGCAACTTTAGTCGTTCATCAGTGCGCTGCTGTTTTTCTCCTTCCTCTTTGCATGATATTTTATCAGTACAACGGGCACTCAATCCGACCGCTGATTACTTGAGGTTTCGCCGCACGAAACCTAACCAGCTCAACCACGTTCTATATATTCACAGACATCACTAGTTTTGAAGAGAAATTTTATTGTATTTTCAAAGTGTATATATTTAGTGTGAAAAATGCCGAAATATATATTTTGAATTCTGACTCATAAAATTGTAACGACATTTTTTCTGATAGAGGAAGTGTACTACCACCTTGACTCTTTCGGCACTGCTAGTGCCCGGACGTCCAGACGGATGCCCACGTCGGCAGTTCATTTTCGTGCGTCCACGTGTGGGCCCACGCCGTGCGAACGTCGCTCGCCCGCGCCTACGTCTCGCGCACCCATGGGGGGGGGGCGCCTGATCGTCACCCACGCCATGCGTCTGTGGGGATCGTTCGCACCCCCTCCCACTTCATTCCATATGAAACACCCGATCTACTTTTAAAACATCCAGATACAACACTTGCAACATAAAAAAAAAGATAGATGAAACACTTGAAACATGCGTATGACACACTTAAAACATGCGTATGACACACTTGCAAAAACACTTACGCAACATCCAGATAAAACACTTTCAACACATGTGTCAAACATATGCAACATCCAAATAAACACACTTGCAACATACATCCGAAAACATATGAAACATTGGGGACAGACGCTTGCAACATATGCAACATGCCAATCTAGTTTTGCAACATCTGTATGAAACACTTGCAACATACGTCCAAAAACAGATGAAACATTAGGGACAGACGCTTGGAACATATGCAACATGCCAATCTAGTTTTGCAACATCCGTGTGAAATAATTGCAACATACCTCTAAAACATATGAAACATTTGAAATGGGCGCTTTACAACATGCATCATATCCTGGTGCGGCATCCTCCACCGTCTGCATTTTGGCGCCAAAAGTAGCAGGAAGCGAGACCAATGGGTTTCCGCGCCAGGGCACGGTGCTTCTTCTTGCGCTAGCAACGGCTGTCGACGTCATCGGCGGGGCGGGGCTGGCAAAGGAGCAGCGAGACGGGTGAAGGAGCGATGGCGGTGCAGGAGGCGGTAGCGCGTGAACAATGGCGGCAGAGCAAAGCGGCGGGCGACGGCGGAGCAACGGAAGGGCGCGGCGCCGGCGAGCGGATATATGCTAAAATCTTGGCGCGCCGCCATCACCGGAGAAGGCCACGGCGAAATATATATTTTGAATTCTGACTCATAAAATTGTAACGACATTTTTTCTGATAGAGGAAGTGTACTACCACCTTGACTCTTTCGGCACTGCTAGTGCCCGGACGTCCAGACGGATGCCCATGTTGGTAGTTCATTTTCGTGCGTCCACGCGTGGGCCCACGCTGTCCGGACGTCGCTCGCCCGCGCCTACGTCTCGCGCACCCATGGGGGGGGTCGTGCCGCCTGAACGTCACCCTCGCCATGCGTCTGTGGGGATCATTCGCACCCCTCCCGCTTCATCCCATATGAAATACCCAATCTACTTTTAAAACATCCAGATGCAACACTTGCAACATAAAAAAAGATAGATGAAACACTTGAAACATGCGTATGACACACTTGAAACATGCGTATGACACACTTGCAAAAACACTCACGCAACATCCAGATAAAACACTTGCAACACATGTGTGAAACATATGCAACATCCAAATAAACACACTTGCAACGTACATCCGAAAACAGATGAAACATTGGGGATAGACGCTTGCAACATATGCAACATGCCAATCTAGTTTTGCAACATCCGTATGAAACACTTGCAACATACGTCAAAAACAGATGAAACATTAGGGACAATCTGTGGAGAAGGCCACGGCGAGCGGACCCCGCGATGGAGGCTCCCGCGGCGGTCGCTTGCGTGCGGCACGATGGAGGAGCTTGTGGTGCTCGCATGCGCGCGGCGGTAGGGAAAGGATCGCATGCGCGCGCCGGCGGGAAAAGAAAATGTCGCTGACCTATTAGACCTGATCGCTGCACAGGCCTAGGAGCATGGCGTCCGAACGGATACGCTTGGACGAACGTACTCACCACATCATTACAGTAACTCGCCACAGCATTATAGTAACTCTTCGTATCTACTTTATTTCTTTACGCGGCAACAGCATGTCGACATCCGCTGGATTTCTAATAATAATTCAATTCAATCGTCCATACCTACTACTATCGCCGGTAGCTGTTCTTCCCCTTTCCTTGCGCCTCACTCTCTCACGTGCGCACACACCGACCTCCGATGCTGATTCGGATCGTTCGAGGTGAATTATACTATCCAAGCAAGGCTCGCTTCTAGGCAAATTGTGGCAGATGCGCAGGGTTATTACCAATGCAAGGTGTGACATTTTCCATAGAAATGAAATAACCAACTGTCCTCATAAAGTAGTATCTAAGTGTTCCTACAGCATTCGTCTACCATTTTTACAGGCCAAAATGGGAATAAGTGTTCTTAAGAAAACATAATAAAAACATATCAGTATTCTAAAAGAAATGAAACGTTAACCAAAATGCAAGGCACGGCGTTTTCCATAGAATGAAATGACCAAAATGCTCTCGTATGTTTCTACAACACTCATGTACCATTTTCATACAGGAAAAAATGAGAAAATGTTTTCTATTTTCTTAGAAAAATACGAAATTACAAAGTATTTTTAATTAAACAAGTAAAACGCTAAAAGTGCATGTATGAGTGTGATTTAGTATATAAAAAGATTAAAGTGATATTTTTTTATCATTTAGTTCAGTAATAATAAACCATGCGGAGGAGTAGGAGGTTTTGCTGCCGCTGATCTCACCATCATCACCAACTGCCAACCGGGGGCTGCCTTTCCCGCCGCCCACCACGATCATCGTCCTGGAATAGGAATCAGAATCTCGCTGCTGTGCTGTGAACTTGTGATGCTACACTAATACAGTACAGGCCTCATTCCCATTCCAATTCCCATTCGCCTCCCTTCTGCCCTGTCCCGGAAACGGATTCCGCCGTCCGCCGTCTAGCAACCTCCCTCCCCTGTCCTCTCCCATTTTTTATTCCTACCTCTCCATTCCCAGCGGCTATAAATCCCCGGGTCGCCGCTGCGCCAACCCCCCTCCCTCCTCTCCTTCCTCTCCTCTTCCTCGGCCGCAGATGCGCCAGCATCTCTCCCACCGGCAGCAGGAGGAGGAGCGAGAAGCACAGTGACACAGACAGAGAGGGAGCCCCGCACCTACACTAGCTAGCCAGCCACAGCCACCTCCCACTACCACCACCACCACCGATCGAATCGGGTGCGTGCTGCTCCGGCTGGCCGGCCGCTCGCTTTATAAACCAGCCACCCAGCCCCGCCCGATCGCCATCGCCATCGCCTCGCCTCCGTCCACGCACACCCGCCTTACCAGTCGGCACCCCCTTCTCCTCCGGCCTCGCCGCCGCCGCAAAACCGCCGCCCGCCGCCGCGCAGGCCGGTTGCTCCGATTGGGAGTGCCAATCGGAGCCAACAGCAGGGGAAGCACATGCTGCCGTTCGTCCTAGAATTCCTCATTGATGTCGCCTGTGATCAGTGAGATCCTCCTCTCGGGGTTTATGATCAACTCCACACTCCGGCGCCGCACCCATCTCGTCCAGTCCTTCTCCGTCGTCTTCCTCTACTGGTTCTATGTCTTCTCATAAACTACTCGACCCCATCATCGCCACGCCTCTCTCCCACTCTCTGCTTTCCTCCTCTTCCTCTTCCATCTAGTAGCATCGATCGTCCTCATCTTCTCTTCTCTTCTCTCCGTGTCAGTCTCCGCCTTCGTCGTCGTCTCTGTTTCAGTCGTTTCCTAAAGCTTTAGCTTGCTTGCACTTCCCTACTGCTGCTGCTGCTAGCAAAGACCTTTATTAGTAGTGTTATAAGTTATTACGAACAAGAAGAAGAAAGAAAGGAAGAAATCGAGGCCAAGAAAAAGAGACCTTTGATTTCTTTGCTAGTGTGGTGTGGTGTGATCTTGGGTAGTAGTAAGGAAAGAAGGGATCAAGAAGACAAGAAGCAGAGAGCTGCTCTGTTTTTTTTCTTGCAAGAAAGGGCGGTTCTTGTCGGACGGAACACAGGAAGAAGAGAATGGCTTCCTCCAGCGGGAGCGGGAGCGGGAGCGGGTGCTCGGGCTCTCTCTCGGCGGCAACGGCGGCGGGCACGGAGGAGGAGCTGCGCGCGCTCATGGAGCAGCGCCGCGCCAAGCGGATGCTGTCCAACCGCGAGTCCGCGCGCCGGTCGCGGATGCGCAAGCAGCGCCACCTCGACGAGCTCACCGCGCAGGCCGCGCACCTGCGCCGCGAGAACGCGCACGTCGCCACCGCGCTCGGCCTCACCACGCAGGGCCTCCTCGCCGTCGACGCCGAGAACGCCGTCCTCCGCACCCAGGCCGCCGAGCTCGCCGCGCGCCTCGGCTCCCTCAACGACATCCTCGCTTGCATGAACACCAACGCCGCCGCGGCAGTCGGCGCCGTCGCCGTCTCCGTCTCCCTCACAGCCGCCGCCGCTTCCTCCTCCGACCCCTACCTCGCCTTCGACGGCGCCACCGCCTTGGACGACCTCCTCAGATCCTGCCCCGAGAATATGTACCAGCTCTGCTAGCTCCAGACTGAAGTCACCATGGCAGCACAAAGCATCGAGAGGAGGAAAAAAAAACATCTTTTTCTTGTTTTTTGCTTCTGGTGTTTCAGGTTAGTAATCTGCTAGTGAGATGGAAGAACTGAAGGTCAGATCAGACGTGGTGGTGAGCCATGAAACTTACTGTTACTGTACTGTGCCATCAACTGGTGGGGGGTAAGCAACTGGGGCATTGCACCTAATTAGCTAGCTAGCTGCTGGGGTTATGGTTAATGAACTACTACTAATTACCTGGTGTAAGTGTAACTCGAGGTCTCCTCTTGTTACTGCTTTCGTGTACTGTGTCACTCCACTGTGTAAGAATCAGAGCAGTATTCTTACTAGTATCTCTGTCAAACAAAGGAAGTGCACCGAATAATCTACAATTTAATTACTCTACCTGTGTGCCTTGCATTAATCTTAATGTTCTGTTCATGCCTGTCAGTTTTTCTCTTTATTTTTGATGAGCAAGATTTATCTTTTCCTGTGCCTCCGAATTATGCTGTGCTACTGTGCTATATATAAATACTGTCAGGCTCAGAGCTGGCTTGGAATGTTGTCTGGCTGTGAGCTTCAGATTGTAACAGCTCTGGTAGCACATTTTTCTGATGCCCATGGGCAAGTGGCGGGAATAATCAGCGCCCTGTTCGTTTGGACTGGTTTGGCTTATGAGCCATGCCTGAAAGTACTGTTGGCTGGTTTGGTGTGAAAGAAAAATATTATTCGTTGGCTGATAAGCCATGGCTTATAAGCCAAATACGACCAAACGAACATGCTGCAGAGTGACAACAACCACTCTTTTATCGTCCTGTACGCTTGGCTTATAAGCCGTACTTTTTTAGCTAACGAACAATATTTTTCTCTCACAACAAATCAGCCAACAGTACTTTCAGACATGGCTTATTAGCCAAGCGAATAGAATAGAATGGAATAAACTGGCCTCATTTTCCTGTTTCACTTTTATTTCTGTGGATTTGGTTGAGTACAGTATCGATGGCCATTGTGCTTGGAGAAAGAGATTCTCCAAATTACCCTCTTTGTTCTCTTCTCCCCCACTCTCAGCCAGCCAGCCACTGTGCCTCGTGTTCCCTTGTTTTTTTCTTGAGAACTTGATTGTACCAGAAGACCACTTTCTAGTTGTCATGGTCTCATGGATCAGCACTGTTGTACATCGGTACTGCCAGTACAATGATCCCTCCCTGCAAGCTAATGGCAGCAGCACTAGTGCTACCCTAGCCCTCAGTGCCATCTATCAGCCTGTTCGGTGATCATATACGATCGTGGATTATTACTGCTGGTTGGTTTAGTGTGAGAGAAAAATATTGTTCTGGCTAGAAATTTACGATCGTTTATGACGCAGCGAATAGGCTTATAATGTAGCTCTGCTCATCCCAGGCTCTCAGTCTCTCATTCCCACGGCACACAGATATTTCAGTTCATTGCATACACAGCTCACATGATCTCTCTCTTGGTACCCACCAAACCACATGCTACCCTCTGATGATTCTGCTGCTGCTGCTGCTACCACACACACAAATCTGATTTTCCAGTGGCTATAACTGGAGCTGCAGATCACCAACTACTCCATCCCCAGATGGCCACTGGCAAGTATGATGCATGGTGCTCTTGTATGGTCACCATGGCATTGGCATGGAATGGACCACTGGCACTGCCTCTGCAAACGCAATTGGTGCAATGGACCTGCAATGCCTGGGGCTGGGAGGTATAGCAGCTACATTGATGGAATAGAGTAGAGCCAGCCAGCTCTCTCACACACAGGGGAACAGGGGAGGGGATTGCTGCACAAGCCATTCTGCAAAGGGGAGGGAATCAAGGCCAAGGATGTGGTCACCTCCTTGCAACCCAAGCCTCCACCTTTCTTCATCTCCATCCATCCATCCACACAGAGGGGGATATGTCAAGAGCCGCCCGGAATATTCTCCATCCCCGGCCTGGCCATTGTTGCCGTCGAGGCGGTCTGCCGGTCGGCGGCAGATGCGCCGACGATCATCTGAAAGCCGGTGGATGAGGAAAGGACCTCACTCTCACTGCCGGTTCAAGGTTTCAGACTCAGCATCAGAAACGGTGCTAGCTAAATGATCTACATACGTGCAATGTTATCCTAAACGTTAAACGGTAAACAACCCGTCACCTTCCATTTAGCTATTATTCAGGTAAAACGGCCACTTAAACGACTAAAGTAGCCAGCATTTAGATAGTGTGTAAACGGGCTAAACGGTCGTTTAGACAAACAGTGCGTATATCTAAGGCATGCACAAATAAAGCCCTCGTGATATGGTGGATGATAAATAAATGGGTACATTTTCTCAAATTTTCTTCTGCTTAGTAAAGCGAATCACTCACCCATCTTTCTGCTTGATCTGGCTACCTGATGTGCATATGTTTCTGCATTTCGTTTCTCTATAAACAAAGTGCATGTTGCTTGCAGGAGGAAAACTGGGATGCCTGAAGATATAACAGGGAGTGGCACCCCTTATAGAAGTGGAACAAGAACAGTGGAATTTTGGTTTTTCTTGGTGGTGGTAGTATCTCTCAAGATTCTAATTCTTCAGGTACTCGATGGCATGGCACCAGAGTCACTGCATTACTTAATGATATTTTGCCATCACTTGGTGTGCCAAAGTTCTGCTTGTTTGTTATATAATAAAGATGTGTGGAGGGGTGGAGAAACCAGAGAAGATATTTCTCCTTGTTGTACTATGTACCCTAACATGAGTTACCTCTGTTCTTCCACATCTGGCACTTGTAATTTACACAAAGAGTAAAGCAAAGAGCAAAATAATCATTTTTTTGTAACGCAGGAGAACTGTGTGCCATTGCATAGAGGAAAAGAATCCCAATGCCGGTGATTGTTGCTTTTGGATCATAGTTTCACTTGAGTCCAAAGGCAGGTCCATGCAGTACACACTACACACATGAGATGAGACTAGGGAAACCTGAGAAGACATTGCTCCAAAAGCTACAATCAGTGGCCAGGAGACTAGGGAATTCATTTGCTTGTGGGGTTGTCAGGTTTTTCTCTTGGTTATATATTTGCAGAGAAATGACTAATAAGCCTAGAAAATATCTTATCTGGAGATGCAAAGGTTATGCAGAATAAAAACTTTTCAAAAATGATAAAATTAAGTAACCGAATAAGACTTGGAATAAAGGCCCATAGAACAAAGAGCAAAATTTATATAGCACAAAGCGCGCAAAATGCGGTATAAGACTGTTTCTTGTCAATGATAAGAATTTCTTAACAGTGTATTAGTAGCTCAGATCCTATCAAAGCATGGTGGCATGGTGATTCGTGTACACACGATCTATCACGCGTAAATATGCCCTGAAAAGAGTTAAATATGGTCTCTTGATTCCTTATTGTGGAAACCAAGGCAGAACTGTACTTGTGCCCGTTTGAATACTGCTTAGGACATGGGTTATGCATGCACTAATCTGTCTGTGTCGCCTACGCCCATGTGGCCGGTGGTGCCTGATGCTTAGCACTCATACATATGGGGGAGGCTTGGAGACAAAGGCTGCTGTGTTCATGTTCAATCACATTTTTTCTCGAACGTACCTCAGGCACGGATTTCATTAAGCAGAAGCAGAGTTTTTTTGTTATAAAGGATTGGCCGGTAATCCTAAAATTACCAGCGCAATCCCACGAACAAACGATACAGCAAGAAAGCACGGGAGAGGGGGGGGCCTCCACCACCAAACCCTTACAGACTGAGCCTATTACAGGAAGAGAAAAACACATTGGTAGCCTAAGGTGTAGTGTAGCCGCGATAGCCAGCATCCACCAAGGAAGCCAAGGGAGCTGGCACGACAACAGCGGCAAAGCATCCGCACGAGAAACGACCACAGCGGCCAAGCATCCGCCGGAAAAGGACCATTACGGCAAAGCATCCATAATGTTCAATCACATTGCTCCGTCAGTAGTTTGTACAGTTCCCCAGGTCAGATTCAGTCATTGTTAACTGAATCCTTTGAAGGACTAGAAGTTCAATTTACAAGCTGTGGAAGTGCTTAATATGAAATGTGGATGTAAAAGGATTTTCTGAATCAAATTGATTGAAAGGCGCATTTTGTTAGGTTTTTAAACTGAAACAAGCAAGGAATAAGTTGATTGAAAGATGAACCGTGCTTTATAAAGATGATCCCCAATTAATCCCCACGTAGAACTGCACCAGATGCTGAACTGAACTCTGACGAATTTTATCCTTTTACCACAAAAGCATAAAGCACCAAGATTAAAAATTCCCAAGACCCAGACCATTTGATTCTACCTAAGAATTGTATAGACAATTGGCAGAATCCGATTACATTTGTCTGCTTCCCTTGCATTCCATGTTGCAGGTAACCATCAGCAACAGAGAAATATGCGTGGTCGGCCGGCTTTATCCTTGTTTTTGGCTCCACCTTTTCCGCAAACGGAAAAGATAAAACCAAATAATGTACACACTCACATGCACATTGCATCTTGCCTTTGAACCAGATGTAGCTGATCCTGCATACATACTGCTCTGTAAAGCACCTATGCTCCTCTCCCCCCATATAAACTTACCTTGGTTGGTCTGTTACCCTCCTGTTTTTTTTCGCCCTTTTGTATAGTTTTGACAACACGCTATGTGCACAAATGGAAGGTGGAAATGCGGCATTATTGCGCCGTTTCGTGGTGAAAGAGTCTTGCCATGGTCAGTGTGTGAAGAGCTAGGGTTTTGTTTCTAGTGTTCAAGGGGGGAAACGGAGTGTGCAAAAGCAGGCAGTTGCAATGCCATAAGAGTGGGGGCAATGTGCATTCATGGGGCCTGAGGGATGGGGTAGGAATTTACCTGGAAGAGCAAGTAGAAGCGACCCTCAGAGTCAGTGCTCTATTGCACTTTGCAGACATCTGGAGACCAGCCAATGAAGATCATGGCCTGTGACTGGATGCACGAACTGAAAGACAAAAGTTACACAAACCAAGTCCTGGTTACAAG